AGCTTAAAGTAATGTAATTTAAGTATATCCTAGATGTCACTTTCAAAATAATTATTTTTATATTCTGTTTATTAGTACATTTACTGTATTGATCAGCTTCCCTCGAGACATTTTTCATTGGCTCTTCACTACTCCTTAATCTAAGAACAGCATGCCAGCCCAGAACAACCCATAACGTATCTGTTCAAATTACACAGCCTTTATTTTCTCCTGGTATGAGAAGCTGAGCTTGTGCATCCACTACTGGGTTATATATGTTACAAAGATACAGAAAAGCCGTACCAGGTTAGGTAGCACCTCTCGGCTTTCCACCTAATGTGAATGGCTTGCAGACTGAAATACATACTGCAAAACAGCATCAGTTGATGGGAACTTCAGTTGTATGGACCAGAAGCTGACAAGCTATCATGTCTACCAGGTTTCAACAACTGGTAAAAAACCAGGATACTCACCTATCCTCCCAGCACGAACAAATCTATGCTGCTACAAAGCTTAAAAGGAGACCTAAAGATGACTGCTATTTCTTTGTTAAAAAATACCCTGTTCTCCTTCAGAGCCACAGGAAAAATCTACTAATGAACTTGTATTTTTCTCCCTTTTCCTGGCCACAACTATTTGCTGTGATTCTTACACAACTCACCCGCCACCTTCATATGTGCACTCCTTCCAATCTGCTTACCAGCTCCTGCTTAGTAAGCAACATCTATACATATTTAGGTTTTAAGTCATCACAGTGGTCCTTCTCAGGCCCTTGGATTTCTGGCAAGGGAATCAACTCATCTAATCTTGTCAACTGAGGCATCAAAGCAACTTTATAAGCTCAAGTCAAAGCAAATGTCAGAAGTCATTAGCTCAAAATTACTATTCTAAAAATAAAGTTTTAAGAAAGTTTGAAAAAAAAAATTTAGCTTACTAGTAGGGAAAACATATGCAAGAATATTCCACATTTGTCACTGGGAGTATCCAACAACAAGCTGAGAAAAATTCTCGGAAAAATCTAATAGGTAGCACTTCAGGTAAATGTCAGAATTCATTATGGGGAAAAAAAAAATATCACAAATCCTACCAACAATAAATAACAGAAGTTTGGGATACAGACAAATCATCAAGTTTTGCGATGTATCTCCACCTCTTTGGTGGAAGGCATTCACATACATTTATAAATATTTTATCCGAAATCTGTGACTTGCTCTTTTTGATCCACTTTAATTTTCTTGTCATTAGGCATCATCTGATTTTCCCTTTTTGATACATCATTTATCTATGAAATATATGCAGTCATGACTGATACTGTATTTCTAATTCATATTAGACTACACTCTGAATTTCAGTATCTCTACAGTGTTTCAGCAGCCAATTATTTCCCCCTTCGTATTTTTAAATGTAACTACATGCAGTATTTGGACTTGTACCATTTCAATATGGAAAGCTGCTGTTATATTTATTTTTTGCTATGATCAATCCTCAAGTTGAGAGAGTAGGTTGAAATGACAAAGAAAAGGATTTTTCTCTGCAACCTATTATATCAGTTACATCACATGCATTTTTGTGTAATAAATACATATTTAAATTTAACCTAAAATATTTTGTGCAGGGATTTTTTTTGCCAAAGTAAAATTAAAACCTTATCCATAATCATTAGTCTGTATAACCTAAGGAATTCTGGGCAAACAATTCCTTCTCATTTCAGTTGAAATTAGACAACTAGCTCTTCAGGGGCATTTGAAACACTGAGTAAGAGTTTCTAAGCAGAAACATATTAAAGTAGTTCCTAATATATGTGTTTTCCAGAAGGGTGTTTCATCATGTTGTATGTACAGAGAAGTGGGATACAGTAAGAGCCCCAGTCTTGTCATTTCCATTTTTGCTCAGAAAGGTTATACTGTCATACTAACTTTGTATTTTATCAGCAAATATTAATTTAGCACATTTATGAAAAATTCCTACTAACACAGTATTTTACATTTTACAAAGTAATTTGTTAACTTTTCAAAACAGCTGCCTGGCTGGAAATAAAATCCACGACTGCAAGAGCCTCATTCGTAAGCACTTCTTACGCTGTTATTCTGTTTAAATCGTCTCTCCATTTAAGCAAGTGAAGTCTTTCACAGAAGTAAAACCAGCGAGATCCTAACTTACATAAGAACTCCCAATAAGGTAGCCAATAGGTTGTGTTCTCAACTCTGCAGCACCAGAGGTCTTCACTCCTCCCTACTTATCAGTAAGAAAAAACTGCAATAATTGGGAAAAGTTATGTGAAAAGATAAACATCCGTGCCAGCACAGTCGCAGAATTGGGAACCTACTGCTGGATCTCTGGCACATTAACGCATTTCATCTTGTAGCAAAGATACGGTTCCTGTGTATATTCTACTTCCAAATGTCCCATGGAGTCACATGTAAGAAGATTCCCACTAGTATTAGGAGCTTAAAAATACTACTGCAGCTGAACCCAAACTAGAAAATTATTCAATAAATTTAAAGAAATCCAACAATACTCACAAAATAAGATTCCTTATTTTGCACCAGTTTATCGAAATCAAAGGCGTTTTTTCCTTCCAGCTAGCCCAGACTTTCTTTTGCTAGAAGTTCCAGTTTTACATAATGAAGAATGACACAAAGTGTCTGAAGGTAGGTTTGACCTCAAATACCACATAGAAACCAAGTCACTTTTGTGCTGCTCTGTAAAAACCACCCTGCAGCCCTAGTAAGGACCTGTACTAACATGGGAATGGCTATGCAAAAACTGAAGTGGTTTCTTTCTTGCCAACTGGAAGGTCTGCTAGGCGAGGAAAACACTGCTGGCCTGTCGACTGTATTTTGTGAAAGGACACCAATTCTTACTGTCATGAAAGAGTTCCCTGCATTAGAAACTGAACTGCATAATGTGAACTAAGAGAACGAAAAGCTAAACACCCAGGATTCTTGAGCTACTCTAAGAAAAGATTATTCAATGAATTTATATTTACAACTACTAGAGTCTCTCACACGCTACAGCTCGTTATTACCAAAAGACTTAAAGATGCTTTTTCAGAGGAGTCTCCAACTGATCTCTGCTCACAGGTCTTCAACAATTTAGGAAAAATAAACTGAAATCTAGAAAGTGCAGGGGGGAAAAAAAAAATCTCTCTTTCATAGGTCACAAATGCTGGTTTATAATTAGGAGTTTCCTCAGCAGCAGCTGGCTGACCATACACTTTGAACTCACCAATAAAGGAAGAGCAACAAAAAAGGCAGATGTGACCTCCTGTAAGGTCAGCAGTGCACTGGCAGTTATCCTTGAGAAGGGAATGGGAACTTTCTTCAGATCACAAAAAGAACAATTAAAGAAAAAATACACATAAGGAGTGGACTTCTGAGATTTCCTTTAACAGAGATTTCCAAGTCTGAACTGAATTTAAATGTGCGTAGCAAGAAACAGCCTCTATGCCACTTAGTGATCAAGGTAACCCTTTAGGCTAAGCACTTACCTTTTCTGGTAACATCAATCTATATTCTGAACACTTAAATCCAAAAAGTATCTCAGAAAAGAACAGAAGAAAATCTGGGGAAAAGAACCCCACAATACTCATGACCGAAGAGGGCCCAAAGACAATCTATGACTTCTTCCTGAGCAAGCAGAGAAAAGAGTACCACAATGCACAGAAGAGTCCTCAATGCTAGCCCTAGGTACACTACACCACCCTCGCTGGCAGCAAAGGATAACCACTGCCATTCCACAAACCCTTCAATAAACACTATTTATAAGATAACATATTGCTGCTATGGAAAAATACAGTTGCTACTATAATTGGATCAGGTGGAAATAGAGAAAAATAAAAATCTCTCTGTAGAAAGGAAGGTTTAAGAATAATACTTCTCTTTTTCTAGAATAAGCAAAGCATGGACTCCAAACTTGAATAAAGTCCACCACATCTGCCAGAGGAGGAAATCGACCACAAAGCGAGACTTCCAAAGCCTTACAAGAGGCAGGAAACTCCCAAGTTCCACACTGAGGGAATATTGGCAATATTCCAGAACAAGGTATTAATTTGCATAACAAATACAAAACATCTGAATAGCCAGCACGCTTCACAAGCTTTGAACTAAGCACTAACTCACTAAAGATTTTCTAAGAGTACGTGGAGGCTATACAGTAACCCAAGGAACACTGAAATGAAGTTTCAGTAAGCAGCAGTAATGCAAACTGCTTTATTTGTACTTTTAATGGACATTTTAACAGCTTAAACTTTAAGTCTTCACACATCCAAATCACAAGCTATACTCCAGAATATCAAGGTGGGGGTGGGGAAGAGAGATCTGAATTGAGGAGTTCTAAAGCTCACCCGTTGTTTCAGAACACAACACACATCTATGAACTTCACTAGCGCAGATAATACATTCACCAGCCTTTTCTGCCAGGCAGCACACACAACAGGACTGCTGCTTTGTTTATTTGCATACTAATGCCTAGAATGGTTTAAGCTGACAGTTATGTTACCTCTATGGTACTGGCCGTTCAGTTCAACAAATTGGAAGGTTTACTACCTCTGGAAAGGCCTTTAGTTTGCTCTGATGGCAAACACAAATCTGTCCCCATCAGAGACAGAATGCAGCCTTTGATAACATGTCTGAGAAAGTTTTCTGAACGCTACTCAACTACTTTAGGGAAGAAGGGATTACCTTCTCCACTCTCTGCTACTTGGAGGCTGAGGGAGAAGTGCTCACAAGACTGTCTGTGTTTCCCACAAAGGATTTAACAAAGATTTTTCTTCATTTGTGACACTTCAGAAAAAAAAAATGAACACCCAATTACCACTAACTTACAGGACAAAACAATATTTATTCTTAAGTAGTATTTTACACTTTACCCTACTTACTGGACAAGCTAGTTACCAAGAGTTCATTAAAGGGGAAGTTCAAATTTGGAAAATACTGTTTTCAAAACAACAAATAAGTAACACACCAGACTAAAGAAACCATGTCCAAAAGAGACAAAGTGCAACCCATGCAATATTTTTCTTCTGCTTTTAAATTAACCTTAGCATAACCTCCTTTTGGTGATGTAGTAATGCAGACTGAGTCACTTTTCATGGTATGGAGGAGCAGAAAGCAATGGACAGCAGCAAAGGCAGGCCTTGCAGTCTATCTGCTTAAAATTCACACCCTTTCACCTTGCGTGTGTGTGGAAGAAGTAAGTGGAACAGAAAATCACTTCCACCTGGACCACTGCTTCTCTTTATCTGTTAAAGGCACATATATCACTCCCATCAGAGGCTTCATTTTGACACTGCCATCTTCTAGTTTGTCATACTGTTCGAGCATCTGGTTTCCCCCTGCAGGGCCAACTGGTAATATCAATCTTCCGCCAGGTTTTAACTGATCTATAAGCTAGAACACAACACAGAAATTAGAATGTAACCAGCCACTTCAGAGAAGCTGGATCCAAAGTTTGTTACATTAGATTAATAGCTTTGCCATGATTTATCTATCTACTGTTAACAGAGTGGGTAACTATTTCGATTAGGAAAAACTGAAAATTAGAACATCACAACAACATGGTACAACAACTGGTGTTACAGAAGCATTCACAATAATTCCATATAATTCCAAAAAGAAGATAAAACAGTAATTGGATTAATTGGGTTGGTTGCAGTTTTAGCCTCTACATAAGAAGGGGCTTTGTGTGTAAATCACAAATTATTTACAGTAGATTCTATCTTTTTAAACTGCCAGTTTTAACTTTGACACTTATTGTACATCAGTACAGACCCACTGCCTAAAGTGTTTGGGATAAATGAGCTCCACTTAAGCCCCCAGGATAAGATTTAAGATTTGTGACTTTTTTAGTCTGTCTGTCTATCTATCTTCCTGGAATAATTTTGTCTACAATACACTTACTACCTTACAGCTCCTCTTTCATTCTGTGAATGGAACAGCATTTTATGAAACTAGTGTAAAACATATGAATATGAGTAAGGTAAGTGACAGAGTATGTGAGAGAAAAGCTAGGATTTTTTTGCTTTCGTAAGTAAAAGAAGGAGGCTAATCACAGTAGTCTCAAGGAAAATTCAGTACTTCCCAGATACCATGAAAAAAATCTTAATCCTGGTTACTAACAAGACAATTGAGAACTACTAACATTTCAGAACTGTTTCGTTCACTAATAAGCTTTAAATTACCTTTTTAATTGCCACCTGTCCACACTTCGCTGGGAACACCTTCCCTCCACCCCAAAGTAAAATTAAAAAAAAAGAAAACAGCCCATGTCTGGAAATGTCTAACCTGTCCATAGCACCTCAAACCTCCAGTCCTTCACTAGCCCTCATTAAAATTCAGTTTTAAAAAAAACTTAACTGATATCTAGCATATTAAAACAATGCTATATATTTCCATTCACCTGATGAAAGGAAGAAAAAAATCTTATCTGCAAGAATGGGCTTCTTGTATACACACCCTAAAGGCCGTAGTTACTCTTCAGCTTCTCTAGTTAAAACTGCCCTGTATCCACTCTGACAGCTACGAACACATTTCTAGCTGAGCATACCACTTTTCCAAAAGGCTCAATGCCTTGGAACCTGGGAAACAAGTACTTATATTTTATAATGTAATGTTTGATAAAATCAAATTTGTTTATGAAGTAAAATGCTCTGCTTTATTGTTGCAATAGAGGGTTGTGCACCAGTAAATTTAAAATATGTTTATTTAGAGGAGAGTTACTAGAACGTACAACTTTTGCAAACCAACAGGGAGCCCAGTGATAAACAAAAAAAATAATACCACCCTGCCCACTGATTCTCCCAGCACTCCCAGTCTACATACATATACGTGTAAAATACTTGCTAAAGTGTTCTTTACAGCTAAGAGATTACTGAATCACACACACAAGACATAAAGGCTTACTGCTTGGGGCACAACTGGTGCTGCAGCTCCTACATGAATCGCATCATAGGGAGCTTCTTCTGCATATCCCATTCTTCCATCTCCCACTGCAAGAAAACACTTTTTTTTAACGCTTTCAAAAGGAGTGGAGAAAACAGCTGATCTACCATATCTATAGTTAGATAGAAGGCTATCCTCACATTTAACTAAAACTTTGCTGAGCAGTAATAGCATGATGAAGTCAATTTAAAAATATTAACACAACTAAAACAGATGCAACAAAACACCCTCATACGTATGTACACACACCTATAAAAGATGAAATACCACTGAAGCACCTGAAATTAGAGAGTGTGGATTTGTAACAAAAGTTCTTGGAGACACATGGTCCACCCAGAAAAGTTACATTTATATATATTTTTCCTACTGTTCCAATGCAGGTGACTTTTTCCCTGGTTTATCCTCTTGGAACATACTTAGAAGATACTTAGAACATACACTTTGCTTTGCCTTGCCTTCACGCACACAATTCCTAAATATAATGCAAACCCTAAGTCTAAAGCACTCCATCTCAGAAGCACGTATCAGAAGACTCCAAAGGTGAGGAAAAGACAAATCAAGTATTCATATGGACTGTACACCTGTAACTGCACTACAGGCTGGACTGGGCATCCACACCTACACTCATGAACTAATGCAGTACCACACTAAGCCCTTCGCATCCCCCTTTGCCAGCACGGCAGTCTCGCTATCCTTCCTGAAGAGACAGCCAGGTCAGAGCTGCAGCTAAAGGCTGCTTGGAAGAAGTCAGGAGTAATCAGTGATTCAGAGGACTACCGATGCAGCTTCAGCTTTGGTGGAGGACTCACGGAAAAGCACCCTATCACAGACGTCGCATACCATATCCCAGTTATGCAGGGTGAAAGGGGAATGTACTGGGTGTTTTTAAGTCACTGAAATGTAGCAAACTAAACTAGATCTTAAGTTTTGAAAGATGCTGATGTGAACGTGGCATCCACAGTATTTACAGGAAACCAACGGGAAATTCAGAGCAAGTTAGGCAAGATCTCTCTGGAATTATTTAGGAACAAAAGTAGTAAATGTAGCTAAACCATCCATAAATTCATACTTTGTGAGTGCAGAAGTCCTATTAATCAGTCAAGAAGAAAGAGCAAAGAGGGTAATGAACACAGTCCTCTGCTCGGCACAACTAGGTGTTTGGGGTTTCCGGTCTTCAGGCTGAGCTTCAACTTTTGTACAATCACCATTATCACAGTTAATTAAAAGGCTGAATGAGTCAAAAATCAATGAGTTCGAAGCTCCTGCCAGTGGCTGAAAGTCTGTCAGCTTCTTGCCTTCCAACAATTCACAAGGTGGGAAAAATACATGGTGGCCACAGGAGGTTTCATTTTGACCTCAGTGACAGGGAGGGCCAGTAACAACACTCTTAAGTATCCAAGGACAATCTGGATAGCTCCTTGAAACGACTGAAGTTGGGGAGTTTGTCATCTTTCACATTAGGTCCTGAAACAAGACTCTGCAAAGACCTTCTCCACCCAAAGCTTAAGGACTGTAAGAAGTGAGCACATTTCCCCAGTAGCTGAGAAGCCCCTTAAAGCTCAGTGACTTATTTCCTCCTATCACCAATTCTGATCAGAACAGGCCCCAACCAAAGGCCACAGGCAGAAGCTGCCAAGCAAGAACTAGCAATGCTTCAAGAGAACCCATGCCTATTGATCACCAATCCCACTAAATCAGCTTTTATTACTGTTGCCAGTAATGAAGCTGCAAGTTCCAATATTTACAGGGCTCTGATTGTACCAAAGGGGGTTCTACTGGAACAACCACCTCAATGCAGTCGAGTATATAATACATTTCTCAGTAGCACAGTACACCTCCTCTAAAGAGCAAGTAGTGCTATGCTATTGTATCAAGCTGCTGTTCATCAGAGAAGACAATGCAGAAAGACTTCTTTAGCTCAAGCATACAGATACTGCTTTGAATGGTGTTAGTTACACAGGGAGACAGATCCTCATTCCGTAAGATGTAGGAGCAGGCATTAGAAGCAGAGATCTCCAGTACTGCTGGTAAAAGAAGAGATTGCTAAATTGAAGAAACAGCTGTGAAAGAAACTGCTAAGCTGTCTTCTGAAGAAGAACGTGTGCATTCTGAGACTTAAAGGGATCTTATGTGCTGTCCAGGAAGTCTGAATGTGACCTTCACACATCTTAGCACTTCACCGAGTGGTAAAAAGGACCCAAAAATCTAAACCCTTCACTCTTAGAATCAATAGTCCAAACCAAAGCTACTGTCTTCAGAATCAGCACAACACACCCACACCAAAAAAAAAAAAAACCAAAAACCCCACCCAAACCCAAACATGCTCCTTTATATGTATCAAGCACAGCATGGCTCTTCCTTTTTAACATCCAGAAAAATTCTCCTGGCTACAGCAGTCAGGTACATCTCCACCCACAATGGGAACACACTTTTAGATAACCAGAAGACTTAAAAACCCAAAAAGTCAGCATTCAAACATTCAATGTGATACAGATTATCATGTTACTCAGTGTCCAAGGGGAACGAGCAGCCCAAATGTTGAGCTTGTGCTTATGTTCTGAATAGCTCATCCTACTCAGATCTCCAGTTTCATGCAGCCTGTTAATGAAGTAATCACGGTGGTGGGTGGTGATGAGAGGGGAAAAGTAGTGTCAGGACTTTTTGACACAAAAGGGTTTTGTAGCTTGTTTTTGAACCTAGACCTGATCTGCTGATCATGGTACTCAAGCCTTCAGTGTCTCTATGCAGACCTGTTTCACACAGAGTTGCAGCAAGAGCAGAGAAAGAGAGAACTACTTCACTGTGGTTAGAATACCCTCGTCATCCCCTCTGGCTGTGTCTGCATCAGCAAATAGTGCAGTACAATAGGAGCAGATATGTACAGCAAATCAGTTTTTGCTGAAAACCTGATGTCCATGCAACATATGCATTTTAGAATGATTGCTCTGATCTACTTCTAGTCTTACTGGCTTAATATCAATTAACAAATCACACTGTATTCGGTTGCTTCTCAGAGCACATAATCTAGCCTAGTTTCATCCAAAAGGAATCACAGTTTGTGCTCTCCAGGAGTACTCTCATGTGAGCCAAACTGTGGTAAGTGGAAGCAAAGACCAACCTCAAAGGCACTGTCCTGATTTTAAGGGAAAAACCCACCAAACCCCCACCCCCCCCAAAAAAAAAACCCAAAAACCCCAAAAAACCCAAAAACACCCACAAAGATACACATCCCTTCAGTATACCTATTCCCACATTCTCAGTGCAGTTCTATCACCAAGACACCCCAAAATAATGTTGATGCTTTTGAAATGCAGTTACAGCAGATCTGTGACAAAGCAACAGAGAATGGCTGAAGCATACTTCTGAAACACCAGCAACTGACTTACCTAGTCTTAATTCATACAGTTCCCAACACCAATCAGCCTTTGGCTTTTCAGTGGTTTTTGTTTGTGTGTTGGGGAGGGGGGTGTTTGGGATTTTTGTTTGGTTTGTTTTAAAAAACAGCTCTGTCTGGATTCTATCTCCACATCAAAGAGCTCACAGGAATCCAGCACAGCTGAAACATTATTCTTCTCTACCTTATTCACAAAAGCACTACTTGTTCTCTGTACTTTTTTTTAAATGTACCTCACAACAAAACTATTCAGAAGCCTCTTAGTCATCCCACTACACAGCCAAACATAATACAGATGATGATGTTTACCTAGAACTCTCAACTCCCAAGAGCATCGTGTTTGTTTCAGGTATAACCAGGAGCATTAGGTCCAAATTGCTCTTGTACAGCAACAATGAAAGTTACTCCCCCCATTCTTCCTTTCCAGCCCAAACAGTTTCAGTATAACTTCTTTTCCAAGAAAGTTTAAAGCATAAGCGCTCTCAGTGAGGGACACTGCATTTTATACACGTGCACAAGTACATGTGTTGATGGGCTTATTTAACAAAGGTTTAGAAAACTCCCTCATTTAAAAAAATCCACCAAAAATCAAAATGGTAACTAAGGTAAGAGTCAAACATCACATAATAATCATTTTTCCAAGTGCTCTTGTAATAAGACTCAGAATAATCCAGATTTTCAAATTCTTCTAAACTTAAATGGAATGATAATGAAAGGAATGCTTTCTTCTGCCAGCTTTGCATTTTACTAAAAAAAAATTGAAATAAAAAAATAGCATCTTTTTCTTTTTACTCAAAAAACTCCAATTCACTGTCCTTGAATAATTTCCATTGTTTCCTCTCAGTAACTCTAATTGAATTAAAGCAGTTTGGCATCAATCACTTCCCTAACATACTCAAAATGTTAATTTTAAAAACAAGTGAAATAAACTTCAGTGGTGCATACTGCCAATCTAGTACTTTTTCCACCCAACTCGCAATGTGCAGCTTTCTCAATTACAATATTAGAAGTATGAAGGCTTTCTTAAAACAATCAAATTTAGATTATATTACATTTATTCAAGAAAAGTCATGCATTCATCCTGACTTTTAATAGCAAATTTAATATGACAGACCTTCAGCATGTAAAGTATTTTCACTGGAAAACACTTCCCTGTTAAGCTTCTCTAACAGAATGATTACGTATTCCAAGATTATGAGAAGTCATATTCTCAAAACTGAGTGAAGATATTTTTCAAAGGCCTAAAGATGACTTGGATTTTAAAATCACCATTTGGCTCTCTTTCTTTGGTTCAACTTCTAAAATTGGAATTTTTAATCACATCCTGTTCCAGTCATTTTCAACCAGCTGCTAGGAAGAAGATGAGTTTAATTAGTAAGTGTATCAGTCTGATGCTCACCAATCAGTTTCACTCTTCCTGAAGACAGCAATGTGGGATCATCTTTTTTGACATTATTTATTGAGTCATCTACTAGTTCTTTGATATGATCAATTCCTACAACTTGTCCTTTGGGACCAACCTGGAATAAAAATATACAGTTGAATAATTTCTGATAGTTTTGATATATTTGTAGAATGAGTGTTATTTTTGATACATTTGATATATTTGTAGAATCAGTGTTTCTGTCACCTGAGCCCGTTTCTCTGAAATAAACACAAAACCAGTAAAGTGGTAGTATATTTTCCAGTGTTATTAAAACTATCGCTTGGAATCACACATCCTGACTGCTAGAGGCAACTGTTAATTAAAGGTTGTCAGTACAGTCTTATAAATGCTTGTTATAGTCATCTTTTTGAGATGTCATTAAGTTATACTGTTAGTGGAGATTTTTTCTCTGAATTTTTAGAAGTTAAATTTGATCATGAGTGTTTCCATTACCTGCGATAGAAAATAACAACTTCAAGGACAAAGACTAGAACTCATCTCCTTTCATGCTGAACGACTTGCTTCAAGATTAAGCTTTTTCTATAGAAGACTTTTATAGAAGATCAAGGAAAACAGTAAGTCATGCATTTTATTCTCAGTTATCTAAGTCCTATTCTTTCAGAAGTAAATGAAGCAATTAACAGTCAGGGATAAACTACCTTCCACCTACTCTTGCATTCATGAATGTGTTTTCAGATTTACAGCTCTCTTCCACAGGAAGAGCAGAACTTTTGAGAGCTCATAACTCAGAAAAGGCCACAAAATATCTGTGTTTTCTGAAGGGGGGAAAAAGGCCTACTAACAAAAACTCATCCATTATAGGTATTTCTTCTGGAATTGTGTCTTTATTCCAAAAAAAATATTCCAGTTTTGGAGAGAAGACAAAGACCGTTTTTAACAGGGTCCAGCTCAAAGAACACAATGGCAGAGTGTGTCCTAGCAGCCCACGTTGTCATATAACTTTGTCTTTGGACACATTTGGTCGTTTCTGTCTTACATTTTAACATTGCTAAGACATGGAAAATAAATAACTGGTTACTGGTATCATGAGGATTTTTTTGTTTTATTATGGACAATTCCTATGCAAAAGACATCAAAAAAGCAGTGTATCCTCTTCTTTTTTAACTGGAAGACCACCAGCCTAGCCTTTGAAACAGAGCACAACAGATGGCAAGTTTTCACTATGACAACCACAGGTTGTAGTTTGGAGGAATGCCCGGCAGTCAGTTGTACCAGAAGCTGTCAAAAGATCCAGAGTCGTCTAAAGGGTAACGTCACAGAAATTAAAATTTATCAAAAGGGTCGTTGCATGAAATTACCTCTGTCTATTACCCTGGAACTTTGAAGTGCGTACAATCGAGACAATAGCAAAATCGCACAACTTTTGGATTCTCCTTGGTCTGTTTGGAATAACAATATACACCATTCTTTTTATAAATCCAGTACTAATAGGATGAAAAATACAATTCATTTCATTTGCCAGTAAGTTAGCATGGTATGTAGATAAGTTTATCACAGCAGTTTAACATGAAAACCCAAACAAAAATTTTAAAGATGCTTTACTAGTCTATGTAAACATAAGCTTTGCCAGAAGTAACACAGATGAGATTAATGTCGTAGGAGTAGAGCTGTCATGACATCAATGTGCACTCAGGTACTTATTCCACACGTCAGCTATTCATTCTAGATCAAGCAGACTGAGCAGCAACATCCACATGATCCAGTAAGCACATCCCAAATAGAATTTTGATAGCAAAGCACTTTACCATCATTCCCCGTAATATACTACTTTCAAGTTTTTGTTACTGTTAGCAAGAACTTCACAGAGAAAGAAAGTCACAGCAGTACATACTGTCTTATCTACATCCATTCAAGTGGATGAAGCCAGATCCATACTGTGCAGTAGTAATGCTATGAGACAGAACAAAAGCATTTATCCAGTGTTTCACAAAACACATCTGTAAGGCGTTCCACAGCGTACCACCGAGGCGGGTTCAGAAGAGGAACATGACATTTATATGGCAAGAAAAATATAGTGTGATTAACCTCAGCAAAATTGGCAAGAAATTTCCTTTTTGTGGTTAATTCTGACTTCTCTGAAGATGCTTTTAGTTTCTCTTATACAGCTGTCTTAAAATAAAAAAGTGCACAACCACATCTTGTTGTGTCTTATTGGAAATGGCTATTTTTCTATGCATTCATAACTTTTTAGAGAGAAACACACATTAACAAAAGTTTTAACGCTTGTAGGATTGGAGTTCCTCTGCATGATACCAGCACTTGACAACTGACTACCAAGTTAGACCAAAAGTAACAGGTAAAAGTTGAGTAAGTGACATTTAAGATTTCCTCTAAACTACAGTTTGGTTAACTTATTTCAGCTTTTTTTAAAATTTTGCAGCTAGCACTTAAAAAACCCTAAATACTTTTGCTAGCACATTGCCCAGTCCTAAACATTCTTATCTAATTCTTAACACAAGAAGCCAGAAGTGACCAGAGACTCAACAGATCAGTGCTTGAAAACAGAAAATGGAGTAACAAAATAACCACTATGAGAATTTATCATATGCATCACCTTGTTCTAAATTAACTTCTCAGAAAGACAAAAACACCCCATCCAGTTGGCAGTTTAAGCCTCTGCTAGTTATAAAGCAATTATAAAGTCCTGCAATGGAAAAGAACTAATTATATTCCACCATATAAATTGGTCTAGCAGTACTGTAGTTATATCCATCACAAAACAAATTATTTCATCTTTTTTCCAGATGTAAGATAGGGTAGAACCACAGAGAATTCCTTATGTAAAGGTTACACAACCCAGCAATTAAGTTACTTGGAGAAGATGTAAAAGTAATATAAATTATTATCTAACTTAGAAAAGATTAAAGGGATACTTATAGTGATGCTCACATAATATAGTAACAAGAAAAAAAAGTTAAATTCAAAGACAACTTAGATACATACAATATATCTTCCTGTGGAAACAGGATTCTTTTAGGTCTCACTAGCCTCTCATCGTAGCAGGAAGACATGACAATTCATCACATTAAAAACATTCATAGCCACACAAGATAACATAAAAAATTGGGCTGGACAAGACAAACACCTCTTTCCTTCGAGCTATAAAGCAATCCCTAAAATGTAATCAAGAAAAAAACCTTCACCTGTAGGCAGTTTCTTAAACATCACATGATTTACTGGGGCCTTTTACACAAGCATCTTATAGCAGCTAGGGTAAGAAATGGGAACTAATCACACCCAGGAACGTAAGCTATTTTCTGTATAATCTACTATGAAGGAGGCCTTTCCCGCCCCCTTTTCATTCAGAGTTATGCTGCAGTGCAAGCAGTTCTGATGGTCAAGTGATTAAACCAAATATCTCACCATTCGCGAAAAGCACGCTGTAAGGATTCCACTTCCAGATCCCACATCAAGTGCTTTGGCTCCTTCATGTAACTGATCAGACAGAAGTTCAAGAGCATATGCATGCTAAGAGAAGACGACAGAGGCAGAAAATGTCAAAATTTTAAGTGTCTGTTTTATGCAATATATGTTCATTTCTTCAGTGATTCTGGGCAATGCACTGGGGATTCATGTAGGAAACGCCAATAATTTCCCGTTACAAAAAAGGCAGGGGAGAAGTTAACAGCATGATATAATCATTGTTATTTCACTGACTTCAACAAATGATGCATATGCATATATATATATAAATAGATATAAACTCATCTATACATTCAGGTTTCTAGCACACACTCAATTTATATAGTTATTGGGAGAGACACCATAAATCAATTTAACTCTCTTCAGGTCTGGCAGCTCTTACTGTTCTGGCAGTATATAGCCTGTAAAGAATTTAGCTTATCATTATGCTGCATACATTGGAATAAGCTGGGCAGAGGCTAGCTAGGAAGAAGGCAGCTCTGGAGCATCAAGGAAAATGGCTATTAAAACCACTACTTGTATTACTTGCACACTTGCTGAATCAAAGAGTAGGAAAAAGGAGTTGTCGTTTACAAAGGCAGACAGGCAGGCTCATATATGAAATGCAGTAGTCTACAGACACACCTTGTGAGCAGCTGTGCTTTCCTTTGTGGTGGACCAGCACACAGACTGAGCTTAGGTCACCCACTAAAAGGACAATTCCTTTGTTAATGTTTCAGAGATAGCCATTACCACACCCTCACGACTTCATCCCTCACACTCAGAAAGCAGAAATAATCAGAACATTTATTGTTAGAACATTCACTGTTAACATTTGCTTAAAGGATCCATTTCCTTTTTGCTCTAACACTTCATACACTCCTAGTGCTAAGCATAGGATAATTCAAAGATAATGACTCAGGCGAGTTAGTTTTGAGAACCAAATTAGTACCGATTTTCTCCTTTAGTTACAGTAATTCTTTCTCAGTCTTTCCTTGAATAAAATCATTAACATTTCTATATGAAATTCCTGATATTTTTATATTGATAACTGGGTAAATACTAACCCAACTAGGTAGTTCCTAGTCAAGAGGAGCAGACTTTCTTTTGATACTTCCCAAACATTGCAAGGACAAAATATATGCTTCTATTCATTCTTAATCTCAAATAAAGAAACACAGAAAACTTAACATCTGTGTTAGATTTATGTACTGAAATCCCCTCTTAGCACTCAGTCATGAATGCCCCGGTCTCAAACCACTTGGCAAAACACCTCCATTTTCAGTACAATGTATTTTTTTTCCTGTCCAAAGAATTAAAGGCACTACAGTAATACTACACCATAAAAGTCATTCTTATCTACTCCTAAATTCTTTTTTTTCTATAAATTCCAGAGAGTCAGAATAATTTAGGTTGGAAAGGATCTCTGGAAATCCTGTGGTCCAACCTGCTTTTCAACACAGGGCCAATTTAAATTAGGCTGCTCAGAGTCCTGTCCAGTCAGCGTCTTTATATATCAAAGAACAGTAATTCTACAATCTGTGAAACCTGTTCCAGTGCTTAACTATCCTCAATGGAATTTTTTTTCCACCCTAGACACTAATCAGAATTTCCCATGTTGCATTATTTTTGTCCACGACCCCTCACCCTGTCACTGTGCATCTCCAAGAAAAGTCAGGTTCAGTCTTCTCTGCACCCTCCCACTAGACAGTTCATGACAGCATCACTGAAATCAATTGTTCATTAAATTTTATAAATAAATTTTATTTATTTAGGATAAATATTTTATTCCAGAAGCATTTGGATGCTTATAAACTCACCTATACTAATCACACAAGTTTAAAGCTTACCATATGTGGAGCACTGATTGTTGCTTGGAAACCTGTAAAACAAGAGAAAGGAAGAACATGCTGATTGTTGTTCAGACAGCAGCCTTACAACCTTTATTACCTGACTGTGAAACGCAGTACCTTAACTGCTGCCCTCATTCAGGGCACTACACACACCCACCCCAATGGCTGCATAGGTCCTTTTAATTCAGAAGTGAGTTAAGGTACGTAATCGGGAAGTTATGGCATGACAACTCTGGAGAGGAGAAAAAAAAAAAAAGGTTCTATCCTTGATCTCTGTTACAATCGTCATTTTGTCGTGATACTTCATTCGCCTGATCAAGTATGCTGAATTCAGAAGAGCAGTGTCTCCCAAAATAACGCAATGCCCTTTTTTACTCAGTCCCTATGTAAGAACCTGGATTTGTTAGTCTGAGTTTGATGTGATGGGGACCATAAAAGTTCTGGACACAACCATCTCATTTCTTTTGCAAACAGCACACACCTATGAGAAAACATGGAGGAACACTCACCTATATTTGTTTCTGTGGAGAACTATAAGCTTTTGAGTACGTACCTTAAAAGTTTTTTTTAATTTCCCTATATAAAAAATAAAATCCTATTATAGTTCATAATTCTCATCACCCACTATTAAAGAAAAAAATCAAGAATTTTCCTATACAAATAAGACAATCCCATTATAATTCATAGTTCTCATCACCCACTATTAAAAAAAAATCAAGAAGAAAGAAATTAGTACATTTGCATAATTCATTCTCCTGCCTCTGAAAGGGAAAACTGGCATCTGGAAGGAAAACAACTGTCCTGAACAACTGACTTATCAGCAGATTTTCCCATTTAAAGCCTATTTTCATATAAAAAAAACCCCACGTAAAAGTTTAAGAAACTGCACATTGATCTCAGCTGAATTGTTTCTGTAAAGAGAGTGTTTCTGACACAAACTAGATACACATGACATTTAAGTATTTAAACATCAGCTGCACCACCCCAAATTGCTGTGGTTTAAAAGATAAATATGTATTTACACATACTGACTAAAGGTCATCCTTGATGCACCCAAGTATGCCAATTGCATTCCATAACAAACTGAAACTTCGTTAAAAGGTATTGAATAACCAGATAAAGAACTAAACACACTTCCAAATTTTAAAAATGATGTTCACATTCTCAACATACATATGACAAAGGCAGTCACAGTTATGTAAATTAGAACAATCTCAAAAATTTCTTACAAGACACTTACCTATAGACTGTGGAGAATCCATGTAAGGGTTGTATTTTGCATAATGGCAACGGTCTGTAGCCAGCATTACTTCAAATACCTTGTCTGATTTGATTATTCCATTTTCTAGAAATAAGCAAATAAATACACTTGAAGGCAATGTTTCTCTTCTGCAATGCAATAGCATGTGAAATACTTTAATGTATTCCTAGTACTGTGAGAAATCATACTACCGTACCCACTCTAACACTCCAACCCTCATCATACTAGAATTTAAGCTGTGGTCCACAATTCAAACAATGCTTAAGCCAATGAACTTTGAACAGGAGTTTCCCAGCAGTTGCAGATGCTTTTCTGAAACAGTAGAGACCATTTACAAAGATCTATCTCGTAGAAAAGCTCAACTGCGTGCACACCTTTGATATTTCTGAAAAGATAGTCAGTAGGAAACTGGTGTTACTCTACACACCAAACAAGATACGTAGTGTCTTAGAAACATTAAGTCTAAGTGAGTAAGTACTGAAAAATACACAGAAGTAGGTTAGCAATATGAAGCTGCAGCATCATTGCACAGTATTTTTATTTTCAAGATCTGTTTCTCTTTTGTGCTAGCAGAAGACTAAAATCCTTTTGGAAAGAAACTCCTACAAAACCACCAAAATTCTTACACTGGGGCAGACTAAGGCCAAAGAGTTTTTATATCAAAACACTTTCAATCTTTGTTCACTTTTCCAAATAGAATGCAAATGCACATGCATGTAAAAGGTCAGAAGCACTGTGCAATGCAGCCATTTGTCCTTGCAAGTTTACTGAAGGTTTTGGGTTGGGGTTGTTGGTTTTTGTTTGGGTTTGGGGTTTTTTTTAATTGATAATTCATTTTTTAAAGTTCTGAAGAGACATTTATGAGTAACAGAAAACTTTAGAAAAGAAATGGAAGAAACTCGATTAATCTCCTTTATTAAAAGATACAGCATAAACTACAAATAACTGAAATTTCAATGACGGGTGGCTTCATTGAACTACTTAACAAGGAAGATTTATTTGGAAAATTATACTCAGAAGGAAAAAAAACAGATAATTTGACTACTTCTAAAACCTAACTCAAAATGCAGTAACATAAAAATCAGATTAAGGAACTTTTCTAAGAGAGTCCTAACTGAAGTCACACCAGTGGTTTTTTAAAGTCCTACCAACACTAACACACCTGTGCCCAGGCCTGTGCTAACTTCCACAGAGGTTTTCCTGACTATGTATGGTATGCTCCCAACTACCCTTACAGATCATGGGATTGTCTTTTGGTTTTTTCTGACCTTCTACCCATGTCCAGGATTTAATTATCCTATATAACAGAGGCTTGACATCAGAGAACAAAATAATCCCCCAAAACATTTTGCTTCTTGGTCTGAAGACAAAGTATCAAATAGAACTGCAATTGGAATATGCTACTAAATTAGTGGGAAAAAGAACAGTTCTTTTTAAAAAAGAAAAATCTTTTTTTTTAGAATTATATCTATACCCCATAAGTCCCAGAAAAAGCATATGCTCCCCTCTCAGACCACACACATTACACATATCCTGCGCTTTGACTTCATTTAGAGCTGTATACTACAATCCCAGTTAGAGACAATTCCCTATTCCAATACAAATTTTTTAATCTGAGACAGCAGGCATCTGCAGCAGTTCCTAAGTTTTCTTACTGAGCAAAACTGTAACCAAAAGAAAACAAACAAACAAAAAATCCATTAACACTTTGGCACTTATAATATAACACACTAAAAAAAAAAATTAGATTTTAAAAAGTTTTCCACTGCCCATCTGGAATTAATTCTGTATCAGTTCTGTGAACAAAGCAAAGAAACAAAACACCTCAAAATTTTGCTGTTACATTCTTATTAGGTATCACCAACATTTTTGTATCTCTACAATAAATGTACGTTGAAAAATTAAAAAGAAGAGAGGGAGGAGGACAAGCAAAGTTGATTATAACAGAAGTGAAGAGATAAAGGTTTTGAGGGGGCAGAAGGGGCATCAAAAAGCAGCAGCTGAGAAGCACCCAGGAAAGACCTAACACAATGATTTGTTCCCTGACATTGTGTATTGTGCACATAGATGCATACATCCTGGAAGCTATAGGTAGCCATCTGCTCTTTCCTTTTGTGCCTTGGGGAAAACCACATGCAGGGCATGCACAGATCAACTTCCAGCTTGAAAGACCCACTGCCCTATGGTACTACTGAGACCCTTCGCTAGTTTTCAAGGGTTCTTCTCTGTACTGCTGTGACTGCAGGCTCGTTCCACACCTATTCCTTCACTTTACTCTCTCACCTACTCTTGTCATCTTTCTACTCAAGAGTATCAGTAAGGAAATTCACCTCTCAGCATTTACAAATTGTATTTTGCCTCCATTCTATTACTTCACTTACATAATTTACCCATTCTTCCCCCAACTTGTTTAATAAGACAATAAGAGCTCCATGACAGACTGTCTGTGGATGTCTGTGCGAAACAAAGCACAAAACTTTGTTTCAGCCAAAGTACATGTAACTTCATCAAGTGCGATGCTTATGCTGACAGAAAAATGACCCCCCAAAACTGGTAAGAGTAGCTACTAATATTCTACAAATTCTAAGCATTCAGGATATTCCCATTCAGCACACACTCCTGAGATCTGCTGGCTGTTGTACTGTCTTTGATTATTGTCATCTTTTTCATCAGTAAGAAGTTAAGCAAGTTACCCATACCCAGAGTCCCCAGCAGAACCATGAGGAGAAGCTGAATCTCACGTCTCAGCCCTGTACTTCAGCTATTGAAGAATGATCCTTCTTCATCAAAAAAATGCATCCTCTCAGCTACAAATGTGGAGTTACAGGGCATCACATTATCCCCCCATAGATTAAGTCTGTTTTTCAAATTTCCTTATTATGCAATGGAGAACATCAGAGTCCAAAAATAAAATGAACTCTTAGAATGCCAGTGCCATTTAGTCCTAAGTAAAAACAACAACAAATTTTAGGTGGGAATTAAGAAAAGCAATCAAGCTCTAAACAGTAAAGTCCATACTGACTTCGTTTTAACTATTTACTGCACTGCAGAAAGAATTTTTCTTAGCTTCATGTTTGCATACAGAGAAACACAGCAACTGCAAGCTACTGAGCTGCAATGAAAGTCCCTTCCTTCCTGCAGCAGTCAGTCCCAAGATGACCAACTGCCAGGATGTTAATTCTATCAGATTCCAAATTGAAGTCCAAAAAACAAATATATCCCCTAAAAAAGTTGATAATAAGAGTTCATATTGCAAGTAAGACATTCTGATTTCCTGACATCTTTAAGTGCTGAAAAAAACAAGACAAACAACAGTAAATTATTTATTAATAAAAAATGCCAATGCAAAACCTTTTCTAAATCTTAAAGGAAGCTATAAATTGCAGTAAAATAATTCACAATTAAACATATATAGGTTGATTATCCTTGCCAGTGGTAACGTGCACAGAAGACTCTCCTTGAGGAGACTACTGCATTTTAAGACTCTAATAATCAGTACTGCAAACAAATCAGATATTAAATTATAAAGTCTTTACAAGCAAAGGCTAATACACAAACACACTAGCTTACAGACTAAAATCAAAAGTAAAGTCTCTTTATTAGAATTATGTCAGCACAATTCCTAAGCTTCAAAGGGCTGAAGCCTAAAAGTAGCTCCTTAAGAGCGGAGCAAGGCCTGCGAAGTTCAAGAGTTGCTCTGTGCAGAGGCTGCAGCAATGACAACTTGACATAATTGGAGCATGTTTTGAAAACTCACTCTGGTCTGCTTCTTCTCCACAAATAACACCATGAAAACAGGAAAAGAGCTCACAGAGCAGCCCTTGGATTTGAAGGTGGAAATATACCACTCTTCAGTGTAACCTGGGAAACTGGGCAGAGCAAGGAAAAAAGAGCTGGTCTGAAAAGACACCATAGACTTGCAACAAGTAAACAACCTATCTTTCTATTTAGCAGCAAATACCTTACCAAAGTGCTTATCTTTCGAAGAACTGCCTCCATCACTGATGTTATCCTGACTGTTGATCAAACAAGCTTCCAAGCAAACCATAAAACCATACTAGCAGTTAACATTTACACCAACACCAGCTTCCAGATCAGAAAAAGGATGTCTCATTGCCACATGACAAAATCCAGCACACAAGCTTACTATACTAACTATAAACAGCTACTCAAACACCTCCTGTTGCCAGCTTTATATAAACAAAATGCTCACGCAGATCCCAAAACCACTTACTGTGGGGCTGTTTCAGCACCAACACAGCTCAGTTTCTCCCCAGGTTACTTTCTCCATAACCACTGCAGAGTACTTCACTTAGGGAGATGACTTTTCAGCAAAACAGCGGTATTTTTAAATCATACAGAGATCATACAGCATGATGCAAAGCATATACAAGCTCTGTATTACAACAGATGAAATCAAGTAGATTATAACTACTCTTTGACAAATCGCAGTTCCCAGATGGAGACGTCTGACCCACACACACTAGCTAGCAACTTTCAAGAGGAAAGTGGGCCGGAACAGAACCACATCCTGATTTTCAAGCAATGTCAAGTTAGCCGGTTTTAGGCAGCTGATCAACTGATGTTTTTAAGGTCAGGGCCATTTTATGTGAGGAGAAAAAAGAAAATCGGAAATAAAGCAATTCAGTTAATAGATTTTAAAGTGAGAAGCATAGGAAGATTTCACTGTAAACTATGAACACAAAGAAAGCACTTTGAACAAGAAGTGATGGATCAGCATCCCAAGATCCAATAAAGTACACTTGACCCCAAAACATAAAAAGCTCTTTGTGCTGAAGAAACTGGAAGTAGGTGTTTGCAAACCAGTGAGTTTTAAACCAACCATACATACAAACCTCTTGTGCTTTGCTGATAATTTAAGAGTATCTGCATCAAGCATTCAGCTGCAAACCTGTTATCACCATGATTTGGATTCACAATAATACATTACTCAGCGCTGCATATGGCTAACTAGAAGGAATCAGCAGAGAGTCTGTCATTCAGAGACACAACAACAGGAAGACTGAGAAGAGTAACGGTCCATCAGAACTAATCTTAGCCCAGAAATTAAACACAAAGATTGAATCCCATTAAAATCCCCAAGAGACAGGAAGTTAAAATAAAATAAAGAAATACCCATCTAAATGATACTCTAAACATGTGGAGGTAAAACCCCATGGGGACCA